TTCCCTGTTTATTGAAAATCACTTTGTCCTTTTAAGGTAAATGCAGGAGCGAGACCTTCTCTCGCTCCATGTGCGACAGAGGATGGAAACAGTTCCCACACAGTCAGGAAGTCAAAGAGGGGCCTCTTGCGATGTAGAGGGGGATAAAAATTTAGGTAAGAATGTGTTTGTGTGTTGATATGTGTGTGTCTGTGTGTTTGGGTGACTAAATTATATCGCTGACTGAGCAGTTACAGTACAGCTTTTAGTAAATATTCCATTAATAATCTTCATGTTTCACATAATGAACATTCAAGCTTTGCAACACACAAATCTAACAAATGCACATTTTCAATCACGTGCACTGCACACTCACATTAATAATGGAAGCTCAAAGCAGGTATTGGCAGCATGTATGCTTTTGGCCAGGACTGTGCTGGTAAAGGAGACCCATGCTCTCTTTCTTTCCCACCGTTGTTCAGGTTATCCTGTGGGGCCACTTATGACCCTTCTGCAGGCAGGATGCAATGTCTGGGGACCCCAGCAGAGCTGTACACAAGCATCCGCCAAGCCCTGGGAAGAAAACAAGGGCTGATGGAAAACTAGAAGAAAGGAGCGTAAAGAGAAACAGCAGTTAGTAACCAGGACGCACTCAATAACACTCACCCTGCACCTGCAGCCTGTGTGTGTTTGTGTACAGTGAAGTGAGCTTGTTCCTTCAGAGAACTCCAGCAGAACACAGTCCCCACATACAGCACAGGTGGTCCAAACTAGAACCTGTGAAGTGCTGCCCAGAGAGTAATATCCCCACCTTGTGCGCTGCATAAAGCCCCCCATAGGAAACAAACACTTCCGGTGCTGTAAGATTCCTAAGAAAGTTATTTGAATTATTCTTAATAACATATAATAGTAATTCAGCAAGCAAGCCAGAAACAAAGGGGTCATAATTACTGCTCGATAACTCTGGGACATATTGTTTTGTGTTTATTGTCTCCATCTCTGAAGACGAGGGGTGAATTCCCTCTTCAGTGCATTGTGTGGTGAGAATAGGAAAGACCTGGTTAACTGAGCTTGGTGGTGTGAAAAACAAAAGCATTGTTATGCTCTGATAGATTGACTGCACATCAGCTTGCAAACCCACCCCCACCAGGGTGACAGACTTTGCATCTGTATTCACATCCGCACACTCTCCACCAGACACAGATATACAAGCATTACGCAATAAGAGTCCCCAGAGCGTACACTCTATTGAACCATTTCTATACAGGAGGTCAGTGAGAGGGTTATCTATTGGTGGAAATGGCATGGATTCAGGGGACAAACTGGCAAACAGTGCTGAACTGGACCTCTGTCAGGGGGAGACAGAGCTCAAAACCTGACCTTCTCTGCCCTCTAGTGTCAACACTGATGAACATCAACAACTACACAGCTGCCTTGTGTTTCTAGAGGTAAATACAGAATCAGTACGCTAATCTGGAGTGATAAGTGTAAAATACAAATGACAACATTGGTGTAGGAGAGCTTATAAATGTTCCAGAACAAGCACAAAAAGTGTGGGTATGTATATTGTCAGTAATCCCAACACAAAGTGTTGTTTTTCAGTATTACTAGTAGTGTTAATAGTGCTAATACAAAAAAGATTTGACCTGCTCTGGATGATATTCTGCCATCTCTGCTTTAAAATCTGTCTCAGGTTTTACCATGGGTTTGACTAAGTAAGCGGAGAAGAGGAAGAATGAATATTTAATGCTTCATAAATAATTTGGTGGTAACAAAGCAGTATTCAGAAGTTGCCTATTAATGATGTCTTCCTTGTATAAAGTGTGGCCCCTACATGAGCTGGTGATCCTTGCATTGGTATTACTTGGTGTGTCCTATTTATATCATGTTCTAATTTGTGGTCAGTAGGCAATTAAGGTAAAAGGAACCCCTTTTGAAGGGGGCAGGGATAGGGCAGAAAGGAGAACACTACTTCACTACTCATTACTGGAAGGTGTGCTGCTTTATTGAACTACTTTATTACAAACATGTTTCACGGTTTGCCAAGGTGCAAAGATGAAGCCAATGGTTTTTAATAGACCGCCAGAGAGACTGTGAAATATGTCACAGAAACCATGCTCTTTTTTTTCACAATATAACCCATATACACTATAGCACAACTCCCTTTCCAGTCTTTATCTCATTTTATAGAGATATGGTTTTTCAATTTAAAAACCATATCATGGCTACAAATTAAGGATAAAATACAACTGTCCCTAATAATTAGTAAACTTCTTTTGCTTTGGAACTTGACAAGTCGGACGTTGGTTGTGTTACATTAGCAAGTCTTAAAACCAGTAAGACAAAATGTATTCATTAACTAAAGTTAACTAACTGAGGTTAAATGATCAGGTGATGTTTGTACTGTTTTGTTAGATAAACTGCAAAATTACCAGACAAAGGAAATGAAGTCTGTGTAGCGGCCCCCAGGGGAGGCCCTGGCTTTCACTGTGAGAGAGAGAGTCAGAGAGGAGAGAGAGAAACTTTTGAAACCAAAAGTAGTGAGAGCGACACATTGACAAGCACTTAGTTTTCAATAAGGAAACTGAAGGACACTTCTGAAGACACAAGTGTGGAAGACAAGTCCAAGATATGTATGTATTTACTTTCTGATAATCTCACACTACAGAGCAGAGATACTGTAATATTATGGTAGTAAAATGAGCAATCCTACCAAATAGTGTAAAAGTTGGAATCAAAGGGAGAGGTTTTAATAATAATGTTTTAATCGGACGACAATTGTGAAAGTTCAATGATAAGTAGTTTTGACGCGCCTTCAAGTCGCAAAGTTCCCTAACAGAACATTTACAGCAGTTATATGAAAACAAAAAACAGGTGTGAATGTGTTTATCACACAAGCAGTTAAAACTATTTTTACACACGACATTTTATGCTAAAATAAAAAGATTCCTAGTGTGTGTGGAAAAGTAAGGTACAGAACAAGTACAGTTGCAAAGTCAATGAATATACTGCAGATGTTCCTTTAAATTAAATGATCTTTAGTTTAGTTTATAACTTTAGTTTATAAAATTATACTTACATATATAAATAATGACTACAAACAGCTTGTCACTGTTCACTTATAACTTTGCTACCACTGTTACACATCATTGCATATTTTAGATATAAATGCTTTAAGGCTGTCATCGTGATGGTTGCTTTTAAAAGGTCATCTCTTTTGATTTTATAAAATAATTAAAGCAGGATCATTTGTCACAAATAATATGTGACTACACTTTAAAGTCCAAGCTTCCAGCTGTAAACTAACCATACATTTTTACTTCCATGATAAATATTAAAACCTTCTAGTTGCTAAATATAGAAATTTCGGTAATGCTAAAACTGGCTATTTTTAGGACTGTTTGGTTGAAATCATTTTTCCGTAACATTTTTAAATTCATCATCCACTGTACATTTAAGTTTTGATACAAACATTAGATGGTCTCTTCAAACAAATTTAGAAACCAGCAGAATAAGTGCACCTTAAAATGTAAACCATTTATGCTTTCACACTGACACTAATTCTAAAATACACAGAGTTCACTGTAAATATCTACATCTAACTCTTAACGGTTATTTAAAGCTTTTTATTTTTATCTCTGACCTGACATCAGGGCAGTGTGTTTAACTGTGCATGCAAATGATACCTGATAAAGTGGTAAACACATTTTCCACTTCCCCTTTGTTGTTAAAAGTGAACTTGTAACCATGACATTTAACTAAAAATAGACTCCCCGCTCATGAGTTTTAAGAAATTTAATTCATTCTTCCAGCACCGGGCATGAACTCAGAGACCGAGTCCTGCAGTGGGAGGAGTGGAGCCTGAAACCAGCTTCAGTAAAGCTCATCTCTTTTATCAGGTAAGTGCATCAAAATGTTGACTATCTGAAGCTCTTAGCAGGAACTTAATATGGGTGGTGATATTTGATAGCATAGAATGAACTGCACGACCTTATGCAGCATGTACCATAATGTTATATTAAGTAAACCATATTAGTGGAATACAGTATAACTGAAGAAGGGAAACATTTCCCTTATACTTTCAGGATGGGCTGCACTTGCAGTGGCCAGAAACCAGTAAAGAAAGAGACTTTCCACAAAGGAAAACCCAACTCATTGGCCACCCACCCATCAAATCACATAGTAAGTAGGCTAATTAAACTGTAACACTGTACTTTACGACTTTACGACTCTACGATCAAAGTATAGAAATTTACTATATTCATTACTTTCATTTGCTGAACTGTATTAAAGAGCAGTATCTTTTTCTGTATCTCAGGCACGAAGTGGAAATTCCCATTCAGACAACGGTAATAACCAAACCTGACCCATAGAACAAACTTTCTACAAAAAAAAGAAAGATGTCTGTGTTTATGCATTTGACTATTACCGTGCAGAGAAACAGCAGCAGTAAGAGGAGACTACATTTAGCGATTAAAATCTCAGCTGGATTTCCTCTGTTCTGTTCATGGGAAAAGACAAGAAGAAAATACCAAAACTACTGAAACCTTAGAGGAGAACTGTAATGCACTACTTTGAACGCACTTGTATTAAACATGAGTACTATATACTATATCCAGAAATGCATGGCAAAAAAAATATTTTTTGAAAACATAAATAGACCACTATAAAATAAACTCACTTCTTTAGAAATAACCATTTTCTCCGCTTGACTTCAGATGACATTGTGTTTGTGGCACAACATGACTTCAAAGCAACCAATGCCAGTGATCTACCTTTCAATAAAGGAGACAAACTTAAGGTTTTGGAAAAGTAAGTGTCATCCTAGTCCCAAATATACAGTGTGTATCCCACAGCCATAAAACAAATGACTTGGTAGTTCTAATCTGAAGAAATAAAGATGTTCTGCCATATTTTGTCTTGTTTGTAGAAATGGAGAATGGTGGCTGGCTGAATTAGTGGCAACTGGACAGGAAGGCTATATACCATGTAATTATGTAACCAGAGCAGACATCCTGGAGGTGAAAAAGTATGCAACAATTTCAGACACAAACAAGTTATTATCAAACTGGATGGCAAAAACAAGAAAAATCTACAAACTGTTAACCAAATTTGCATATGTTTTTAAGTAGTGCTTTGTGGTTTTGTCCTCTGCAGCTGGTTTTTCAGGGATCTGAGCAGGAAAGAGACCGAACGACTGCTTTTGGCGCCTGGAAATAAACCGGGTGCCTTTCTTGTTCGCGAGAGCGAGACTTGTAAAGGTGACTACCATCGGTCTCTTTTTGTGATCATTTAGAGTTTCAGTGGCAAATGCACGTTATGGAAAACGTATTCAGGAAAGTGAATATGTCTTATTTTAAAACAGCTTTACCTACAGCACATATAACTGTACAGCCTCTTTGTTTTCCCCATAGGGTCCTTCTCACTGTCAGTCAGAGACTACGTACCAGAACAAGGAGATGTCGTAAAACACTACAAGATCCGCTGTCTGGACAAAGGTGGCTACTACATCTCCCCCTCTCAAAGCTTCCCCACCCTACAAGAAATGGTTAAATACTACAGCCGTAAGTAATAAACAGAAATACATTCTATCCACCCAGAAAACTTTGATCAAAGGTTTTTAAATTTTTTTATTTTTGCCTACATCGTTTAAAAATAAGCAGGTTCACGCACAGTTGTTAAACAGTTTTGCAATTGGAAATTATTATTGAACGTGAATGTGTTGATTATTTGTTAATGATAAGATGTCTGCACTGACACAAAGTGAAAAGGGGAAGTGGGACCCTTGTGATGAGCTGTGCACTTCCTGTATGAGAGTGGTAATCTTTCCACTCCTGTAACTAAACCACAAGATAAGCAGGTCAAATCTGTAGAACGGCTGCCAAGCACACAGCAGCAGTTCAACAGACCTGTAGTGTTTCAGCAGCTAAATTCAGACCAGCAAAGAAAACAGGAAAACAAAAAACACTGCTCATTTCATTTGCATCTACTGTATCATTTCTGGTTGCAGAGACAGCAGATGGTTTGTGTATGCGGCTGTATGCTCCTTGTATGCCTACAGCGCCCCAGCAGCCATGGGCACATGACGAATGGGAAATACCCAGAGAGACACTGAGAATGGAGAAGAAACTAGGAGCCGGACAGTTTGGAGAAGTGTGGATGGGTGAGAAAGCTACCAACTGAACCAGATATTGGAGAGATATCATAAAACAGGACAGAAATATAGTGTAGTGTAGTGTTAACTCCCCTGTTTCAACTCCTACTGCAGGTTACTACAAGAACACCCAGAAGGTGGCTATTAAGACCTTAAAACCAGGAACCATGGAGACTGAGGCCTTCCTGCAGGAGGCCAACTTGATGAAGCAGCTGCAGCATGAACGCCTAGTGCGCCTCCATGCTGTGGTCACTACGGAGCCCATTCTCATTATTACCGAGTTTATGGTCAATGGTAAGAAAAACTGTAAAAACACAAGAAATGGGAGAGGGAGAGATTTTTGATAAGCAATGTCTTAACAGAAATTAACAGTACAGGTAGATAAGTTGTGCCCCAAATAAGACAGTAACTAATTAATATTTTCATAACTGATTAATCTAGCAATTATTTTCTTAATTAATCATTGAGTCCAAAAAAAAAAAAATAGTGAAAAATACACATCAAATGTTTCTCAGAGAGTCCAAGGTGATGTCTTTAAATGTCTTGTAGACACAATACACCGATCAGCCATAAGATTATGACTGCTGACAGGTGACATGAACAACTGTTTATCGCATTACAGTGGCACCTGTCAGTGCGTGTGGCAGCAAGTGAACATTCAGTCCAGAGAGTTCATGTGTTGGAAGCAGGTAAAATGGGCAAGTAATGCTGAGATTCCTGGGTCAGATCAATTCCCAAACATTTATCAGTACCTACCAACAGCGTGTAAGGAAGGACAAACAATGAACGGGCAGCAGGGTCATGGTGCCCAAGGCTCACTGATGATGAGGTTGCCCTACTATAGATTAAACTTTTATATTCTATTTGTACTTTTCAAAAGATTAACATTTGTTTGAACCTATGTTAAAATGAGGAATCCTGTGCATTGGTCTTTATGAAGAGAAAGAGTAAGCAGCTGTAGTGGTGATATCACACCTAGAGTGAGGGGGGCTGTTGAATTGGTCTAACTCATCCTCACGACCATAGTTTTACATATGTTTCTCACTGAATGGTCGACACGTTTGTGCTCTTCCTGACAGCAGAACTGTGGAAGATGCACAGTGAGTTGCAGCGTGCCAAGAGTACCTGTATGCCCAGTATTCGGCAGGCAGTCATATTGTTATGACTGATTGGTGTATACAAATGGAGCAGCCACACTTGAGCAACATGATGCAACCATAAGCTATAGACTCAAAAACTAATATATCACCCCATCAGTTCAATTGAACACCAAAAGCATCGCACAGATGCATTTATTGCCTGGAATTGGCTTGCTTCACAATGAAACTACAATATTTCCAAATTCAAAATCTTATCTTTCATTTCTTGTTCTGAGAAAGTTGTGCTTCTCTTTTTCTCATTTGTAGGATGTCTTCTGGAGTTCCTACAAACAAACAATGGAAAAAAGCTAAAGTTTAATAAACTGATAGACATGTCAGCACAGGTGGGAACCTTTTCATTATAATAGTATGATTGCAGTTTTATTTTTCTACATTCTTGTATTTGTCAAAAAAAAAAATCAACTGGACTTAGATTTCTAGGTCAAAGACGTTTCACCTCTCATCCTAGAGGCTTCATCAGTTCTGACTGACTGGTGTTGAGCTGGAGATATTTATCCCCCTTCTCTGTCCAAGAGATTTTTGACCCATTTGTCATTGTGCAATGGTTGTGGGTTGTGCTCCTCCTTTCTCCTCCAACCGAGGACTTCTAAGGCTGGCTGTCCATTCTGTAGTCTCTGGAATTTAACCATTTGGCAAGCCTTGCTCTTGTTGTGTTGGGTAAGTTGTGCCTTTTCCAAGAAACTTGGGATCTCCTGAAAGATTTCTCTGGTAACCTTAGTGGAGAGTCTCCCTCCTAGTTGTTCTGTTTGGTCCATCAGGTTGTCTATAGTGAAGTGATGTGGTGTATGCAACTAAGTGTAGTCAGGAGTGTAACGACTTGTACATTGGTGAAACTAAGCAGCCGCTCCACAAACGCATGGCCCAACACAGGAGGGCCAACCCCAGTGGACCAGAGTCAGCAGTCCACCTCCACCTGAAGGACAAAGGACATTCTTTTGAGGACAGTGAAGTCCAGATCCTCTCCAGAGAACATCGCTGGTTTGAGAGAGGAGTCAAGGAAGCTATTTTTGTAAAAATAGAACACCCGTCACTAAATAGGGGTGGTGGACTAAGACAACTTGTCATCTATCTACAATCCTGTTTTGAGATCTCTGCCCAAACATGCCCACCAGGACAATAAGCGTCGGTCCACAGAGGAGGATTCAAAGACCGGTAACGACTCTCACCGATACTGGGCTATAATGACTCAGTTGTTAGGGGACACTGTTGGCCATCGAAGGACTGAAACACCACCGAGGGAGATAAATATCTCTGGCTCAACACCAGTCAGTCAGAACTAATGAAGCCTCTTGGATGAGAGGTGAAACGTCTTCGACCTAGAAATCTAGTCCAGTTGATTTTTTCAAAGTTTTTTTTTTTCAGCTTACTATGACCTGGATGACTGAGAATCTGCACAGACATCTTGTATTTGTCATTCATCACATTGCTAACCTATACCTCTATCTCATACAATGAAAGCATTTTCTCAGAAAATGTGTTTCTGTTAGGCAATATTTCTAAGTTGGATGTGAATGTGTCCACATTTCTTGCATTTCTGAACTTTTCTCTTTTTTTTGCTACTGCTGCTGCAGTTTGCACCATTAGTATTTAAATAGCAGATTTTTACACCCTCTGTCAAAAACAAAAACATATTGCTGACCTCAAAGTCTATTTATACACGCCGACTGTTCCTCAGTAAATGTGAAAGTCTGTTGTGTGTCTACATTTTGACACTGTGTGACTTCTCATGGAAACTGTCAGCAGTAGCTGTGTGGCTTCTGTGGTGGGACTTCTGCTCAACTGGCATGAATACCGCACCCTACGTCAATTATTAACATCCGGACAGGAAACTGTACTATTTTTACATCCACCATGATCCACCCTAGAGCTATTGCCCCATCCACAAAAACTTTTTGACTTCCTGAGAATTGGCACAGCTGTTAAACTCACATTGCTGCCCTTCTTATACATGTAAACACACAAGTGCCACACATGCTGTAGCTGCACTATTACATGAAAGAGACACATGCTGCTTTCAATGTTCCTTTTGTCCTTTCTATATGACAGATAGCTGAAGGCATGGCGTACATCGAGAAGAAGAACTACATCCACCGAGACCTGCGTGCCGCCAACATACTGGTCAATGAGACCCTGCACTGCAAGATAGCAGACTTTGGCCTGGCCAGGATCATCGAGACAGAGTACACAGCCCATGAGGGTGATTAACACATTGGACAGCAAATGCATCTGATGCAACTGATCATAAAAAAGAAATCTAATATTTGTCTGCCGTGCCAAAAAAGACCAAATACAACCATAAATATCAAAGCTGAAAACAATCTTGCAGTAAAATCTATACTGGTAGTCAGATCTCTATAATCTTACCCCACACTATGGTGATAAAGCACGCTTTCATATGCACACGTGCATCCGCCTACACATTCTCTACTGTCACCACTCAGTGATGCAGCTTCCCTTTGTTTTTCTCGCTCTCTTTCTGATAATCAGGTGCTAAATTTCCCATCAAATGGACAGCTCCAGAAGCCATCAATTTTGGCACATTCAGCATCAAGTCAGATGTTTGGTCCTTTGGGATCCTCCTGACAGAAATAGTCACCTATGGAAAAATTCCTTACCCAGGTACAGGACATGAGAAGAAAATGAAATAGAAAAATGAATAGAAACCAATGCAAATGTTGCATTGCTACTTTGATAAATGGCAGACTATGATCACTAAAAATCCATTAACATCTCACACTGGCATCATTTCCTTTTTCCTAACCAGGGATGAGCAACCCAGAGGTGATCACGTCCCTGGACCAATCCTACAGGATGCCATGCCCGGAAGGTTGTTCTCAGGAACTCTACAAGATCATGATGAAGTGCTGGAACCAGAAGCCTGAGGACCGGCCGACCTTTGATTTTCTGCAGAACACTCTCAATGACTTCTTTGTGGCCACAGAGAGACAATATGAGATGCAGCTGTGATTAAAGAAAAAGAAAATACTCTTTGTTGATAATCTAAATTCAACAAGAAGTCCTGAAGAGAGGAAAGGGTCTCGACAAAGGATGAAGGACTGACCAGCTTCGTTACGACAGTTTATTTTACTGAACAATTCAAATGGACCCATTTTTAAAGCCTACCATCTGCGTGAATGTAAAAACTGTTTAAGGCTTCTTTTGTCTTTAGCAGCTAAGAGCAAAATATGTCAGTCAGAAAGGAAACATTCAGAAATTTGGAATGGCTCCCATTCTTGAAGACAGCCACGGAGGAGACATAATTATACTGATACACGACGGATAAATAGAAATGTGGAAATACAAATACAGTACATGCATGATGTAAAAAGACCTTTGGACCAAGAGACGTTGACACAGGTAAAGTTGCAAATTACACATTTGCATAGTACAGAAGCAGCCTGAGATTACATGCACAATACTTTGCACTTTTAAAAAAATCTCATATGCCATTCAGCAGATAAAGGATTTTTTTAAATAGAATTTATATTTGCAAAAATGTTTTTGTAAATAAAAATATTTACATAATTTAGAACTTTGGTTTGCTCTTGTATTTTATTCCAATTAATTTAAATATCCTTCCATCACTTTAAAAATGTTCTTAGGAACAGTGAGTGCACCACAGTATTTTAATGAGAAACAGAACTCCACTCTCTTTGTTTGGCTGTCGTTTAAAAAGGCACATTTTAAAAGGCTTTTTGTACTCTGAAACTTCTTTAAAAAAGGCAACAGTATGACATTATAAAGACAATGACACTGAATAAAACAAGAATAAAGACGTTTGCACACAGCGGATGTGCCACACAAACATAATAATCATATACTGCTTCTGTGGCATGTAGGCCAAATGACGGTCTTGGACTCTTTACCCCATCTAGTGTGAGAGACTGAAGTAGCCTACAGGAAGCTGTTGAACTTACAAAAAAAAAAAAAAACAGTGTTTTTGATCCTTTAACTAAACCATCCCTGTGGGGCCCAGACAGGCATCTTGAAGATAAGAGAGTGGAGCGACCGTTGCAGCCAAGGGTAAACCTCACCGTTTCCGGAATGGAAAGGAAACGGGAAGTGTGAGTCAGCATTCCTCAAATGCTACACAGCTAGAACGCCTTCACTGGCCAAAATGCCCGAGGTTTTCACATTTTTGAGCTAAAAACACCTTTTTGGTTTTTGGTGGTTTGCAGGTATTCTGAAAGTATTTTTCAGGATATGGTCGATACAGCATCTTTGAACTGCGAAAGAGAAAAAGGCTTCTACTTTTCATGTTACATACTGTAACACCTACTGTGAAGAAAATGATTAAATACATATTAAATATTCATCAACTCTCATTAATCAGTAGTACACAAATACACATACAGTACAAGGTGCTTAATCCTCACATGAGTCACTTTAACAAGTGACATCATGAAAATTGTATGAACAAGTAAAGAAAACTGACATTTTGAACAAAGAACCCTGAAAGAAAAAGTGCAGCATTACAGTTGTTACCTACATTCTTGTCCTCCTGTAGAGGTCAGTGTTATACAGGCTCACATGATGGACAAACATATTGTAAACCGCCACTGAACTTGTGCTGCTGCTGATGTTTGACAACAGTACAATACTGCAGATTTTGTACGTTTCTCAAACTCAGAGTGTTTCTGATATGATCCTTTGATAGACAGTCAGGTTTTCTTTATTCAACTCAAAAATTATGCGTAAAATGTAATATATAAAATTATATTTCAAATTATACATTACCCTGATGCCAACATACAGTAGTGTCCTATTTATATGATATGATGATATGATATGACCAAATGCAAAGACACATTTTCCTTCTGCCTTGACAGCAGAAAACTGCATCATACAAACATAATGCACATCTTCCTAACAGCATGCGCATATCTCTGGGTCCCTAGACATGGTCACAGATATTTCTGTCTGCCATCAATCTGTCGCTATTAGAAAAAGTGTCCAACCGTGTGCAAGCTAACATATCATGGCGGTCTGAGTCATTACAGCTCAAGCCACTAGGTCACCCCGCCACACACTGATCCTATCTGTATTTGTTTAGCCTTTATCAGTCTATTCAGGTGGGTTTTTTTGTGTAATATATAACCATTTCAAATTTTAGCACTTTTCCTGGGTTAAAATTTTTGCTTGTAACATCTTTATCATTTCTGCATTTTTGTGTGTGTGATTTAGCTGTTGTGGATTATCTACTAAACATGCTCAGAATCTATCTGTTGAGCATAATCTGAAGTATTTTATTCCTTAGTCTTGTCCAAGATACTGTAGACTTTAATAAGCCTCATGCTGTAACATGATTGATATGCAGCTCACCATAAAAGAGCTAAAACGTTATCAAAGGATAAACAAGACATGGGGTAAAGACTGAGAGGCCTGATCACTCGCTCCGCTCCGTCTCATCATCATTGCTGCCTTTAAGGAATAATGATGGGAAATGGTGGCTCGTTCAGAATGGTGACTGATCTCTGCTGAAAGCAACACCTCATTAGCATCTTGTGAGGATAACCCCACGCTGTCCTCTGGGATAAACAGGAGCGCACATTGCCACATATGAAAAGAGATCTGCTTTCATCTTCCGATAACGCTGCTGTTTTCAGTGGTGTTCAGTTGGCACTATGATCCTCGTAAACATATTTTCTCTCATGGGCTTTGATGTCATTAACTTAATGGAGTCCATCAATCATAGGCGTTTGGTCCAATAGATGTGAGAGCTCTTGAAACACTGTTAGAAGATGTCTACTGAACATTTTGCAAAACGAGCCTTTGTAAAGTAGATAAGCAAAATTTCTTGAGGGACCTATGGCTTTTTCATTTGAAGAAAGAAATAGCTAAGCTATAATCACTCTGTCACTCTGGAAACGTCATTTTATGCACTCATATTTTTTCATTTCTTTTGAAATATGAGTGTTGCTACAAGATGGTGGGGTAAAAATAATTGAAATATTAATATATTACTCTAAAGCCACAGCGCTTTAACACAGAGGATTTATTTAATCAGTATGACTCAATAGTGACGATGTTCTTTAATGGGTGAATAAAGTCGTGTACAGTAATATTTTTTTCAGTTGCCCTAAACAGTATTTTGACATGCATTGTGGAGCAACCCAGGTGACAAACCCACAGAGAATTATCAGCCCACTTTGATGTTTCCCTCAGCTCTGCAAATTGTTTCGGTGGCTTCCAGCTCATTGCTTTGCAGCTTTGCTGTTTTGGCTCATTCTCACAGCTGTTATTAATAATTTGCAGCCACAGTAGTCACCTGTTTTTAATAAACATGCCTAATAAACTCACTGTACACTACCAACCCAGCACCAAACACGAGACAGACAATGGTTAGCAAGTAGCCGGTGAGTACAATAAAGAATTTAGCAGATATAGAGCTGTACTTTCCTCTTAAGTTGGTAGAGACCAAACCCGAGTTAAAAGTTGAGTGGATGTTGAACTTAACATTTGTTGGATTAATTTATTATATATAATATTTGTGCTAATGGAGCTATGTTTGATGAAGCCAGTACAAAATATATCTGCACACAGGGGTACAAGTTATTGGACCCCTGCTTCCTTTGTCTGGGCTGACTGAGAAGGATTTAGGAAACCATCTGTCACACTGATATTTTGTGTTGATATATGAGTCAATGTGAATTAATTTACTGCAGGATGCCTTAAAGCATGAAGTAACAACAACACTCCCCGCCTCCTCTAAATGTAATTGGCCGCTATGGTTGCACTCAATGATGACTCAAGGGCACCAGTGACTACGGAAATGTAATTATGTGTGTGGTGGTGCAGTAAAAAGTACTGAAGAATACTGCTAGTTTAAACAATCTGGGCTAAATTTGAGTGTTCCCTTAGACTTTGTGTACACTGTTAACCACTAATAACCCAAATGATCTGATATGTTTTAAGAGAATATGAAGACCAAAGTATTTCTAGGATGTTTGGAAACTTCTCAGCTAAATGAACTGTATATAATCACATTAATAATCAGACAGTATAATCACAAACACTACAACACAGTTACTATATTTCACACAGCGGTGAACAATTCAATTCAATTTTATTTGTATAGCACAACAAAAATCATCTCAGAACACTTTACAAACTAAGGTCTAGGTCTTACTATTATTAATATCATAGAGTTGGTTAGTATGCTGTGCTGTGCCCATTTTAATAGCCATACTGTCACCTTCTCCCATCTCTTTGTGGGTTGTGTAACAAATGTCAGCGTAAATATTCATATATCCTGCATGCAGCTTTGACCTTGGATGGCTGCCCCTTTCATTTTGCATTCTTTCTGCTCATTTATATATGAAATGTGAAAAATCGATCAATCAAGAACAATACGGAGTAACAGTGAAAAAGAACAAAGAGATTTTAGAAAATATTCATACAACTTGTGTTAAAAAAATTCAATTTTTGTAAAAAAATGTTAGTATCCAATCTAATTATTGAACACAGTGCTGTGGAACATATTTCTATCAACCTTCTTTATGCACTAGACAGAAGACTCTGGACTTTGGAAGGTGTTGACCAATATACAGTAATGTTTTCAGTGTGAGACAATGCCTGTGAGGCATCAGAAAGATGGACAAAATGAATTATAAACAGTCTGCCACCACTTAGTAAATCCCTGACACCCTCTCATTACTTAAACTGTTTTTTTTTTTTTTTACTGGACACTGAAGACCAAGAAATTGATATTCTGAGTGATTTCTCATTCCAGGTGAAGCTATTGTGGTGTTTTTTTAACCCTGTTATTTCTGGATTTTAAAAGTTTTAAAATGAAATGATGACTAATACAGAAAAAAGTAATGAGGGGGATAATTATGTCAAATTATGGGGCCATAAGAGCTTTGAAAGCTTTTAAAAAGGTCCTCTGACCTCACCTCCCTTTGTCCTCTCATACTGGTTTAATTTATTCATTAAAAACAAGCTCTTTAAGACACCACCTGCATCAAATTATTGCCATGTTACAGTGTTTGAGATGAATTGACTAATGTCAGTAATGCTACGGTGACACATTCCTTATACAGTAGGAGGTATAGATGTTTGAAACCGTTGCATTTGTCAGAGTGTGACAATGAGGAATGGATCCCATTGATTCTAGCACCCGTTTTCCAGAGGTCTCAGCCTTTTTAGAATTTTCATTACACTGGTTATTTTGTCAACATGTCAGACAACTTTACAGTGCAGACAGTATGATGAAGTGGTCTGCTTAAAATATGCACAAGTAAGTGGTGTGTGCATGTGTGTCTCTGTTCAACTGCAGGCTTTATGACCTTCTTGCTACTGTCATAGGAAATGTGTAGTTAGGAATAATGTAAACATTGATGAGGCTAATTTAGGTGCATTTATTGTTACATTACTAAATAAGCTACCAGATCCAGTATGATAAGCAGAATGCACTGTAATTGAAGGTGTATGGACATTAGTTAGACAGGGAGAAAGCAGCTCAAAATAGATGCTAAGAGTAACTGATGCATGTTTTGGAGTGTCTGGCCTCTAACACTCCAATTATTAGGGCTACACATGCCTAAACACAAATAATTCGACAATCCAGGGCCACACTTGTGATAGCCTCTTATAATACTGGGAAATAATACACAGAACAAGAAATAATTTTGGTTAAAAAGTGTGATTTCATTGAAAACCTGCACTCAAACATCACAGTCTCTCAATGCCAAGGTTTGGATTTTGACCTCATGAGAAAATCCAACCATATCTCCTTTGAGTGAGAGTACACTGACATCAATATTTGCTATCTGTTAATATTTCCTGTAAACACCCGAAGTCAACGGCTGACTCTGATGGTCAATCATAACCTTTACATACATCTGCGGTCGTTACAGTTATTTCACTCTTGGACACTGTCCAGAATTTCAGATTTTGTTAAATAAAAACAGAGCCACACTATCAGTGTTCTAAAACCTGCAGAGGGATTCAGGGCTGTAACTAACACATGAGCTCAGGTGAAAAGGAGCAGAAAAGTGTGTTCATAGGAGCCTCACTTTAACAGTGGAGCCTCTCTATTTATACTGACTTTACATCTAGAATATGCCAACAAGAATGCAGTCAGTATAGTGAGCGCCAACCACAATAACCCCACGCTGAGGAGAACTGAACAGCTGCAGCTGAGATAAATGCCACAGACATGGCAGTGTGTCAGCTACAAATAGACAGCTGCCATGGTAATACCAATATCTAATATCTGGCTTAAATTCTGTTTGCTCCAGCTCACAGGAGACGGGTGAAACCATGGCAACACCACAATGAGGGGACAATCTTTTCTTGACTACTAATGTTTTTGAGTGTTTCATTTACAGTAGTTAAAGCAACTATGAAAGTATAGCTGCCATGAACATATTAACTCCATCTCTCATAAGAAGACTGTCAAGGTATTTGGATATGAATCCAGTGTGTACAGCATGGTCATCTACAAACAAACCCAGTTTAAGGAATATTATAATCGAGTATTATATAGTGAAAACAATAAATAGAAAATGTGATGCATAAAATCAGTATAGATTGTCTAACTGATATAATACTGTAAAAGCTAAACAAACACAGGTCAAACAATTTTAGGGGTATATGTAACAAGATATTATTAAATATCAGACAAACCTATTTAATATTTTGTTCCAAACAAATACCCAGCTCTGCCTAGAATGTCCTTATTGTATTAGTGATGTCTTTTTCTGCCTGCTTTTGCCAACACATACTTATGCTGTGCAGAATTCAGCAACAGAAACTGGTAAAATGAACCTTTAAAAACAGTGGACGTTTGGACAAATAGGCAAGACAGAAGCATTAGCTTTGCTTATACTTGTTGGCCACAGGCTTGGTTACATGTGGGTGCGCATCTTACCCCATACTATCCTACACTATAGGGAATAATCAGAAGCACTCAACACGTACACACACATCCGATGACCCCTTCAATGTGCCAGAATGAAGACTGCAGCATGTGTAGATTTCCTATAGACAAGCAATCTGACGCGTGCCCCCCTCCACGAGGCACTGCGCACAGCTTATCAACATGCATGCGATTTAAATCTTCCTGCGTCTTAGGGCGCTGCGCAGTGTATGATGAGTGAGGGGGCACGTCGGCCTGCTGCTGCCCCTGCTGCTGGAATTGTGCACAAAACATCCGGTGGCTATTATAGGCCTTATTACTTATCAGCACCAGTTGGCTACAGTACTACGACCTACATTGTTATGTTTAATGATAATTTATGGGAGCTTCTCTCTCCCGAATGTCTCTGTCATTCAACCCAACATTAATTCATTCCCTGTTGCCTCCTGTGTAACAAACAACTCCTCCTCACCCTATTGCGGTAGATATTGCTACTAAAACGCCCCATTAACGCAGCTGAAGGGGCGCGCTATGGGTGTGGGTGACGGCTGTTGCCCCGGTAGGCGTATCGCTGCTGCTTCTGTCATGACACGTGGATGATTAATCGGGGTGCTGCGCGTGCACATGAGCCGAAAAGGCAGAAAGCGGAGGGTCTTGCAGGCTGTTTGGGGGGCTACCGGACCGGAGGGGACCGGCCCCGCGTGCAGTGGATAACACATTAAGGTCTATGCAGTAAGCGGTGAGCCGGGGAGCGCGACCAGGGTGACAAACTTAAGGCACTGTCCATGGTGGTGAGTCGCCCCGCCGCGTCCCCATCAATCTGCGAAGGGGGGAGAGACGAGCCTGTCAGCGTCATTTTTTTTTTTTGTTCGACCAGTCTGTACAGTACCTGAGCTCACCTACGATCCGTGCTACCGAAGAAATGAAGGAAGTCTATGCTCTGAGCTAGCACATTCTGTCCGACGTCCCTCAGTCTGCAAGGGAACATGGATGAAGGACTTGAGGATTTAAACCTTTAATGAAAGAACCCGTCTCATCTCGACAAAATGTTCCTGAAGACATCATTTGGTTTTTACTGACTGACCACTTCCAGCCTGATTCAGCCGTTCGTTCATTTACCTGAGGAATTCCGACATGGTGCAAAAATGAACTCCAGCCATTTAGTTGCCCTTCAAGCATAGGTAATCTGCGTTATTATTTCATCTAAGAAGAGCAGCGATATCCACCAAAACATGGCTCGTCTGCTTGTGTTGTTCAACTCCGCGATCCTGTTGCTCTTTGGCAGCGACATGTTCTTGGTTGGAGCAAGTAAGTAGCCAAAGGATTTATTGTGCACATGTGAAATGTTCTATTAACCATAATCAAAATATGAACAAGTCCGTTTGCTTAGAGTCTAACGAGGGTTTTAATGGATTATAATCAGCAACTGATGATTCACTTAATGCCCCCCCCACCATTCATTCACATACAACAAGATTTGTACACATTTTTATGCCCTGGCCTACACAATCATAACACAATATAATATAACCATGATTTATATCTTCTTATTTATACATTTATTTTACTTTCTTTGAATCATTTACAAAAACAAGGCATCTCTTATCATGTCACCTTAAGAATAACCTTGACCGTTAACCCTGCTTACTGTATGTACATAATACAAACAGAAATGAGTAGGTTTAACCAGGCAGTAATGTCCTAAAGCAAGAATCTGCAGTACAGCCATACCCAGCCTTTTCCCTTTGTATCAGCTCACCTGAAAGGCACTTTGTGTAAGAGAAGAATGCTTCTCTTTCTCTTTCACATACTGCACAGTATCTGTCTCTTTATCTACCTGTCTTCCTCTATCGCTTCCCCCCTGCTGCTCTCAAGGGAGTCCTGAATGTGATAGTGCCTTGAGACCATCAGCTTGGCACTTCACCGTTTCTGTGGGTGTGTGAACTGTCTCCCCCTAGATAAATATTTAGAGCTTTTGTCTGTTCTGCACTGACATGTGCAGCTCACTGGAGTTCTGCATGGCATTGTAAAGAATAGGAAAAACTCCTTTTAAAACAGTAAACATGACACTCTCAAATATACATTTGGCTGGTGCAGTGAGCTTCATTTTAGAATGAAAATCAGTGTATAACACATGACTGGCAGCCCAGTCGACATTAACTGCAAGTCTCTTCATGGTGATGGTGTGTTTAAAAATGTCAGATATACAATAAAGTAGGAAAAAGGGAATTTCAGGGTGCCTCTCTCTTACTGTAGGTAATAGTGGAATTTAGTTAAATAATTTTAAGATGGTCTAAAATTAAATGCAGTGAATGCTAGCATGTAATTAAGTCGGGTTTTCTGTTACCTCACCTACTGAAATGTGTCCTCTCTTAACCTTTAACATGCATCACGACTATACAGTAACATTAATATACAAGGTGCAGATCTTTATATTTGTATAGGAAAAAATTAAAATCAAGGCATTTACCAGACTAAACCAAATAAATAAATAAAACAGGAAAAAAAAACGTGACGAGGTGTTTTAATTTTTGTTCTGTTCTAGCCTCAAACTGACAAGAAATACTTGAATGTGCATAATCATATTTACATTTGAACAATCTGAAAACAAGCACGCTTGAACACTAATCCCACATGAGGCCTAATCAGAGCTTTAGACTACACGAATGTGAATTAGAATTTAATGGATGTGTTTAGGGAGCTGCGCTCATATTGTTCTTCAAATTGGCATTCTGCTGTTCACAAGGCTGGTGATACATTCCTGACATGCACCGTAGAAGTTTTATATTACAGCTGACCCCAACAGCACGAGGGCTGATGCCTGCTCATGTTGTTATAATCATATCTGCTGTCTCATGACATTTTACAAACAAACACACAGAAATAAAACAAGTTATGGTGTGTGTGTGTGTGTGTGTGTGTGTGTGTGTGAGGAAAAACAGCATTTCAGTTCTAAATTTATCATACTGTAAAACACACTTGGTGTCTTGTTTGTACTGTGTGCCTGTAGGACCAGCAAAACCCAATGTAGATAATAAAATGAATGTTACAAACTGTGATTGTAAACAACTTGTTCATAAATCTGCTCCTGCATATCATGTCATTCTAGCCTTTACAGCTCTAGGATGATGAAGTAATGTTAGCCTGCAGGGTCTAGCCAGTGATTACATTAACCTTAGACTGGCATCTGGTCCCATCTGGTTCTATTGTTATTTCACAGCCTCTCAGTCTGTGAGAAACAAAGGAAAGTGGACAAAAGGAAAGGGACAGTAAGTGTCACTACAGTAGAGAGGTTCTGAAATGTACTGGAACAAGCAAAAGACTGACTGGACAAGTTCTTTCATCTTATATTCTACACAGGTACCCGTGCTGTTGTTGCTGCGCTACATACTAGAGTGACAGAGACAAAGGTCACATAAAATCACTGGCCCCGCATGGCATCGAATGTGAAAGAAAGGCAGGATCTCAGAAATGGAGGCTGAGGTGAAACAAGAATATGGTCTTAAAAGGTAATATGGGGGCAGATTGTTCTGCAGCTGAGATGAAGCCAGCTCTACGGTGCTTAAGACTGTAGGACCCAGTTCTTGCTACCATTGCTAACTCTGAGAGACGAGGCAGTCTAAGTAACTTCAAAACAGTGCTGATTTATTCAAAGGATCACAGGTAAAATTAACATTACACGCTCAGGTATCTTCCACCTCCAAACTGCTCGCAGGCAGATGTAAGATGAAAGACCCTGAGCCCAACAGGCCTATACATTATATCTCTTCGGTTGGGCTAGCCCCATACTACACAGAAACGTCAACCGAGATGTCTCTGTTACCAGCTCTGCAGCTGGCCATAGCAGTAGTCAAAACATGAAGCAAATCAACGTGTGAATGTGTATGTCTGTTGGTTAAGTGGTGTGTATCTAAAAACATTCTCACGACCTCTAATTCATGTCATGACTTGAACATAGGAACATTATGGCTAAGTCTACAGTTTTACACATCATAATAATAATATTAAACATCCTGTCTGCTGACAGTCATCAACTCTTCTCTCTAGTTATCCTTGACCAGATGTACCATGCAGCAACTCATGAGCAGGCCTAAGCATTTAACAGTCTTAACTAGACATCCTATCTCCACTAAACATTTCTAATACATAAAGTATCTATCCAATATCTATCTGACTAAAAATATCTAACAAGACCTACGCTAGCAGGCGATTTGCAACACCGCAGCCTGTGAGCAGCTGTGTGACAACCTCCAGCTGTGTCGAGGAGAGCATTTAAATTTCCCATGACTGAGCTTGAAACGCATCCAGATGAAGATGTTTGAAGATTAACTGGGCAACACATGTAATGGGACCTGTTCAAAGCTACAGCATTACCTTTATTTATAAGTGAATATATTATTTAACAAAAAACTAAGGCAATGAAAGTATTAGTAAAGGATTCCATTAGAAGCAACCCTTCAAACTGCCATTACAGGTGTCCACAAACTTATGTCCACTTAAAATTGAGCAACCATTCATTTATTCATGTAATGACTTGATGGGCTTTGTAAACTCAAGCAGCAGCTTCTGTCTTTTTCTAGAACATTTAGAGAATAACAGTTATCGCAAACCGCAACTGAGCATCTAAGAGTTTAACATTTCATGCTATAACTATCTATTAAACGTTCATTTTGTTTTTAAAAACAAATCTAAAAGAAAGCATAATGTAGAATCAATCCCAGAGAACATGACTGTCTATTAATACGGATAAAGTGATGACATTTAAGGGCCTTTAAATAGTAACAAACTGGTGCAAAGGTGAATTTTCTTTGCAGACGAGTGCTGTCACTCAATAACACACATCAGGTGCAAAAAGAAAACGCAAACAGGCAGCTATATTACATTTGGCACTGACTACAAATTATTTCAACCTTAATGCTTTCTTCAGACAGAATTTGATCAGACACAGATGGCTCCTGCAAAATAAAAAATAAATAAAATGGAGATGACATGTGACCTGCCAGACTGTGCTCCTGATAAATCTGACAGGTGATGCCATCTCCAGTTTTCTATTCAGAAGTCATTATTCTATTTCTGTTATTATTCATTACTCTATCAGTGTGATATGATTATCCAAAATGGTCTGTGATCAAAAGTGCACTGGCTGTCTTATTGTGATAAATCATAAATGCACTGCGATCTATTGCTGTTGAAGTTCAGACTTAACACATTCTGTGAAGTGGGACTGACTCAAGACATGTGGACGATAGCAAATATTGAAGTATGTGCAATGATTTTTGTTACTGCAGAAGGAAACATCAGTCAAGCTAGAAGGGGGAAAAGGACTGGGCTATTGAACTTCGCGCTGACTCGCACACTGCTTCAGAAAATCACTGAGCTACAGTTGTTTGCTCATGAACCAACAGTTTTGAAAAGGTCAAGACTATTATTTTTCTTATTCATCATAAGCCTCTAAAATAAATGAACGAATATAACGATATCATCTTGGTCTTGATCTCATGTCATTCTTTAATTTCTACAGTCACCTTTCCCCGTTCCAATTATAGTTGTCCTGCTCAACCACCTGCGATTGAAACAACATTATATAGGAAGAAAGCACTTGTACTGTACATGAGTGATGACTGATGGCCTGCTTCAACTGAACCGTCACTCGCTCCATCCCCAGTAAATGACCTATGGACAATGCATTGTGGTTACTGAATGTTACTGGCTGGCTTTTTTTTTACCCATGCATGGCTGGATAACAAGTATCAAGAGAAATGAGTGTGTCCTATTTTATATAAATGTTGTCTCTGATTCTGGAGAGTGTGCACTGTACTGTAGGACACATGCTGACATGAATTGAGGCTTGATAATGTTTCCTTGTTAATTAAGAAAACAAATGAATGTCCGTGTCATTTTGGCAACGGGTATGTTTGGGATGCTGCAGTTGCAAGAATCTAAGTCTCTGTGTGACTTTTAGAAGTACAAAGCTGTTCACTGTGGGCATTTTTATAAAGCAACACTGTGAAATGTCAAAGCTATATGCAGTCTCTGAGTTAGTGCCCAGGCATGCTGCATGCTGTGATGTAACTTTACTGAGTAAATTATAGGATGATTACCACGATCACCAAATGTTCATGATGCCAAATTAGCAGTTGCTTAGACACCGTCAAGTCACAAGGACACGTGAACCTATGGAGTAAATATACATATGTCTGACTACCTCCCCATAGCTCTCCAAAGATCATGGACAGTTTATATTATATGTGACTTTCCACCCTCTAAACCTACTGTACTTCAGTCTTAACACATTACAGCACCTGTTTCCATCAAGGAGCTTCTCATTAGATAGACAAAATGAGACAGACATCACCTCTTAATCTACTGATACCAGTGTTACCAACAGCCAATCCCACTTTTCTCCCCGCTCTCTCTTTCTAAGTCAGAACATTCATTTCCTCTCACGTTCTCTATCTCAGACTGAGCATTAGTCTGGGCCCTTGTTCAGCTCATTCGCTTCCCTCCACAGAGCAATTTCTGAGGATGCCGTGAGCCCAGGCGAATGCGTCATGCTTGTATTTGACCTCGGGCACCCTGTGGTTCATTACATCACAAGGGCAGAGACAGGGGGGCCGATAGCTTCGTCTAACCCGAGAGTCTTGAGATATGCTTCAATGTCACCTTTTGCACCAAACACACAGGCCGTCATTGATTGTCTCTGAGATAAAACAGACAGAAGTGCAGGAAGCAAAAGAGATAAAAGAGGTGACACAGGGAGATAAGAGGACAGGGATGTGAGAGGAACTGAGCTGGGAAACTGCAAATCATTTGAAATGGGCCTTAATTTCATAATTTTGTCTTTCATCTTACTCTCTCAGGTGCACATTTGGATGAAATATTGTCCTTGTATGACACGTGCCTTTGACTGTCATCGTAAGACAGCTGTGTTATGGGTTATCACGCACATACCTATAAGTTAATAAAAGCAAAATATACTGTGTATACAGTGGGTACGGAAAGTATTCAGACCCCCTTAAATTTTTCACTCTTTGTTATATTGCAGCCATATGCTAAAATCATTTAA